CATCATACTTGGCCTTAACTTTGTCGGCCGTCAGGGATACAGACACTTCCACACGAACTTGCACAAAGCATGCTCGTAGGTGAGCTCTCGCATGAAGCCGCCAACGGCAGCGGCGATCGCCTCGCGCTTGTTCTGGGCGAAGTCGTCAGCGCGGTTCTGTGTAGACAGCTGCGTGTATATTGTGAGCGGCTTTCTTGACTTACGCTTCGACACGTCTAGAAAGAATCTGCCTTGAAGCTTCTCTACAAATTCCGGCACCCCACTTGGAAAGTAGACCGGGAGCTTGCCGATCCGTGCGGCTTTTCTCAAGACGCTCTCTAGATCAAGAGACTCACCAGGCAGCAGTGTTTGGATCATCAGTCATCAGCAATACGCGCCTGACTTCAGCGACGTAGTCAGCAAAAAGGCTGTTCAGCATGGCAAAAGGGCCTCTTGCCATGGCGCTGCGGCAGGCCAGCTGGGGCCCGGGCAAGCTACAAATATATTGGCCAAGGGAAGCTTGAGCGGTAGCTATTGGACTATCAGGTCCTGCTTTTGCTGACATTTTCAGTCATATGAGGTCTTTCAAACCGGGATGCCGGTTTGATACGATTGCTTCTGATAGGCTAAAGGTAAGCAGCTCTGGTGAGTGCCGTTGGCTTCGGTAGCACAAGAAACCAAACATACATAATCACAGTAATATCTTGTCATGTAGGCCACTGATGACTAAACTCCCCTTCTGCAACAATGAAGGGATCAACTATAACAATCCTAATTGAGGGAAGGTTTCTGAAGCAAGGCTGCGCGTTGTACCGTCTACAAAGCTAACAGTTGCATGATTCTACCAATGTATAGTACGCCACTATGGTTCCCAGGGTCTGTGCCTAGGGTCATGCAGGATCTCGTGCATCAACCATGGTTCCAGCCAACTTAGAACAAAGTTTAAAGCAATGACCTGGAATACTGAAGACAGCTTGGGTCAACAAACACGATACACAAACCACCAGTTAGATTGAATTCAGATGAGGTCACTGCAATCTGACCACAAATCCTGAGATTTCGTGCTCAACGAAATCATCCCCGCAATCCACTCTACAATTCCGGTTTCCTTTTCATTTTGCATTTTCCATTTCAGTCTCAATCATAGGGCCCTATACCTGCAAAGATATCCGTATAGAACCACTAGAAAACCTGAAGCCGTACACGTAAAGTGGTCCTCCGAGCAATCTGGCGCCGGCCATGCCCTTGGATGAACAGCGTCCAACAGCCGCACGTTGTGCTCGTCCAGGGGCCTCAGAGCCGACGTGGAGGGTCAGGGGACTTATGTGGGGTTAAAGGGTTTAGGGTTGTAGGGTTGGGGGTTTAGGGTTTATAAGAAGGTACGTAATTAGATAAGGTTTAGGAATGTTCAGGGTCCGGTATTACTGGTGCAAGTATTCAGGTTAGCCGATAGGATAACTTGGGTTCCATATATGGGTTGTAGGGGTTATAAACTCAATTACTGAGTCCCCCTGACCCCCCACAAAAAAGGAGAAGGCTGAGCACGGTTTAGGGCTTAGATTGTCAGGCAGGGTCTATCCAGTACATGACAAGTTCCAGGGAATGTGCGAATTAACGGCTCCACATTGAGATCCTTTGAGAACAGGAAATTTCATGTTCGCTCAGGGGCTTTAGCATTATTTGAAAGTAATGGAGGGAACTTTCATTAGGAGGGTGGGGGTGATTTGGTCTCTACAGCGGGGAGTGGGCAGCAGTAGTGCGAGAAACCAGTACGCAAGTGACAACACTGCCGAAATCTGCAGGTTTATTATAGCAACATGGATCAATTCTAGAAATCTAGACTTGAGGGCTCAGAGCCTGGGGTTTCAAAAGGCTGTGCGCTTCTTGGCTCTGAAGGCTCTGAAAATGAAAGCCCAACATGGCAGCAACACCGTAAAAGCATGACCACACAAACGCGTGGAAAGCGCCATATGCGAGGGGGGGGGGAGAGGGTGCTGTTAGCAGGGAATCGAGGGACGGATCCGGAGGCCCCCCTACATGACCCCAAATGATGCAGTAGTCTCCAATCTCTGTTCCCGACGCCCTACACCCTAAGTCTACTGTAGTTTCCATGTTTTTCCTTTCGTGCATGCCCTACAAATCACCAACCAGGACCAACAAGTAAACCCTAAAACCTAAACCCCATACCCACAAGCCCCAGTTTCCATTTCCTCTTCCATGTGTTTATCCGTACGCCATCCTGCTCTAACCCCGACACCCACATACACTCCCCATTAATACACTTATATCCCCAGGAACGACCAGCAAGGATGGGACAGGCTACGCACAGCTAAGGCCTTGTCAAACAAAGCAGGCCAAGTTGGCATTGGACATGTTCATACAGACTGCAATCCCCTTAAACCTATCGAAAACCATTATTTTCTACTACTTGCTTAGGGGTGCTACTAGAATATAATGAGAAGCAACACTTCAGGAGACTACAGCAGTTGCAACATTGAGCTCAAAAGGTATCAAGTCCTCAACCTAAGACCCTAAAACCAACAGAACTCCCACGTTTACTTTCGGGAGCCCTAAATTCAGATGTTTGCAAGTACAGCGGCCACACACCGACATGCTTGCCGTTGGGCACGGGGCCATCTGCCGGATACGTCTGCCAGGACTCCGCCATAGCTATTCGCCACTGAGGTTCGGAGTTTAGAGTTTTATGGCTGAAGTCGAGACATTTGCTGCCTTCTGGAGATGGGGAATAGTTATCTAGTATTTGTATAGGCGCGTGCTTTCCTGTTTTGGCTTGTTTTATTGTCTGCACGTGCCATGATCCTGAAAAACTTGTGTTAGCAGGAGGTTTGCTTGAGCCAGCTGACACGGCGAATGGCAACAACCATTTCGATGACAAGAACGACTACATTCTTATCGTTAAGCCCTGAATCCTATGCATAATTTCCATGTTCTTTTCCATTGCCTCATTCTGCACCATGGGATTGGGGGTTGCTGTCTTAATCACGCTACAACGAAGCAATGTTCACTTGGAAAGTATACAGAGTTCTGGACTGAAGCCTCGTGTCACGAATCTAAACCGTGAGACCGTATGGTAAAACGTTTGCAAAGCAACAGCTGACCGTCAAATCACTTCCTGAATCCATGCCATATAGATGGAGGCGTGGCTCTATCTTGTGCTGGTTCACTTTGCTTTCCGGATTGTTAAGCACTAATGTTCGAGCAATGCGCATGCGTGCGCTTCTGGCTTGGAGTGGCATGTAAGGACAACTCTAGTAATGTTGGTAGTACATGTAACAAGAAGCCTAGTCAATCAGCACGGTGCAGGCGTGGATTCCTCGTCCAGTCGCAAAGACCAACGCGCTTCAATGGTCGACAGCCTGCATGGGAAGGACCCCTCCCGTGGTTCAAACATCATACCAGCAAGGACACCATGAAAGGAGTCTTGACTTACTGGGTTTTTTGATACCTTCCCCATGATGGAAACATCCCAACGTAGGGAAATCACATAGGAAGTCTTCCTTTGCAGGGTTTTTGATAAGAGGAGCAAGGCGATGATGCCAGCTAGCCTCCACAAGCCAAATCCAACAGAGTTTTTACCTTAAGCCTTAGGACCTAAGCCTGGCCTTAGGCAGCTCCTCAATTCTACCAGTGGATGTGGGCGATGTCCCACAAAACGGCGGGCCACAGCAAACTCGTCTCGTCTAATGCTCCAAGAAGCCTGTCAGAACCCCACCAGCACATCTACATCCATGTCATACACTAACCCTCGAAGTTACATCTAACCGCATCTAGTCCCCCCCCCCTCACAGCATGGCAGGACATAGTCTTTACCGGGGATTTCACGTTGATTTGGGGGAGGGTAACCCTCAACCAGGTCATCTTTGGAATTGCCGCACCTCTTCTGTCGCTCCTCTGGTGTCTGAGAGGTCGACACCTGTCTTTCGGGAGGCCAAGATGCTCTTACGGTCATCATTCGAGAGCATGCAGGAGTGAGGATAATCCACCGCAAAAGTCCGCATCCAGGTCCATTGTGTTGAGCGACGACATTCATACTGCATGAGAGCCATGCGCTATCTTAGCATCGCTTCCACAGCATGAGCCCAACAAACAACTGGTAAATGACCAAGGAAAGCCTCCACTTCAACTCACGCTTGGGCAGCTTATGCTCCGGTGGATCGAGGCAATCTTGTGCAACTTAAGATCTCCAAACTGTTGGAAACTCCTTATATGCCTGTCCTGGAAAATTCCCTCCAATTCCATCCCTAGGAGGCACTTAAGATTAAAGACATCCTGCCAACCCCGTAGAACTCGGCGTCATCCATGGAAAAAGTAAAAATATTGGCCCCTAATTAATAAACCCCCTCCCCCTAATGGGGCTTACAATAGGGGTCCGAATATTACGGCCCTTAAAAGGAGGGGTCAATTAAGTAGGGGTCTACATTACCCTGGGCCCTAAACCCGGACCACCGAGCGCTTGTGGGACGCACCTCCGTGCTGGGCTCGAAGTAATATCTCGTGAAAGGTGGCACGAGCACCTGTCGCGAATGCCTCTCCCTAACCGATACGCTTGCCCATTGCGGTCCCATTG